CTCAACTTTCAGGAGTGTAATATAGGCCTGGTCATTATGCCTCTGTCAAATTTCTTAATTCTCAAATTGGCTGAAAATGTAGCAAACCCTTTTCATATCACAGAAATTTATGGTTCCCATATTGCTGTCAACCCTCAAAATAACAGTATCTCTCACTATGTAGTCAGAGTGGCCTGGAACTCACAATATAGCCAAGGCTGGCTTTGAATTCATAGAAATTCCTATGCCTCGACATCCCTAGAGCTGGGATTACAAGTGTGTGCTTACCACACCCAAAATTACTATTTTTAAAATGAGAAAAAAAGATCTAGAATGAAAATTGGCTGCTCAATGACATACAATTTCTGGGCAGTAATTCTTGTCCAGAGGTTACTGCATATTTTCCAGCTCAATGTACTATAATCCCTCCTTTCTCTATTCCAACTTTTATTCCATCAGGGTAACATGGTGAGAATCTTTCTCTTGCAAGAGGCAGCATTTTATACTCAGAAGCACTGAGACACACCAACCTCCACCATCAAAAATGAGGTCTCACTTAGACCTGGATTCTTTCTGTCTTGTTCAGATTCACTAAACTTCAGTCCCTGTGGAGAGCCTTGAAAAACGAACTCAAGTTACTTAGTTGATGTTTTTAGCCTTCATTACTTCATTAAGAAATGCTCAAATAGGATGGAATTTGGCCAGTTGCTTCCGTGCCAGGATAGCAGAGTATGGTGAGGGCAGGGAGAAGAACAAATCTCACCTCGCAGCAGCTAGGAAGCAAAGAGAGCAAGAGCCCAGGGCTGGGCTCCTGCTGACCCTTGAAGGGCACAGCTCCAGTGACCTCCTTCCTCCTGATATATCCTACCTCAAAAGGATCCCCACTACACACTATGGCTATGCCAGAGACCAAGCCTATAGCAGTGGGCCTTGGCTGCTCCATCAAACTTGTCCATTCTTTTGAGGTATAAAATTTTTCATGTGAATTAGCTAAATACTTAACATCTCCACCGTCCCATCAGTACTCCATGCTGTTCTCTCACTTCCTGATATTTTTATAGCATAGACAGCTCGGGATAGGTGCCCCTGCTGCATGATAGTTTAGAACCTCCCTGAGAGGCCACCTCATCCCAATCTGAAAAGAAAAAATGCCAGAGGCTGATTTAACTGGTAGGGAGGTCCAAGCTATCTTTGTTTGCACAAAATTCTTCTGAACATTTTCACATAGAACTTTTTGATTCTTGAAATAACGGGTGGTAGTAATATGTATTCTCAGTTACTGTATACAATGTGTCACTATTTCTGTTCAATACAAAGCAGTACTTGGTGTCAAATTCTTCAGGTCAAAAAGGAGTTGAGGGTTATCATACCATACAGTGTGGTAGAGCAGGATAGGATTGAGAATTTGGAGTTTTCTTCCATGTGATGTGTGAGTCTTTAAAGGAGGCTGTCAGGATGGGGGTCCTTGGAGTCCCCATGGCTTTCCCAAAGAGCTCTGAAGCAATAAAGTAGCCCTGGATGAAATACCCACCCCACTGCAGCAGAAGAGCTCAGTCATTTGGCCGAGAAGTTTGCCAGCAGGTTCCAGGCCCTGAGAGTCCTCTTCCCTCTATACAAAGTACTGAACACGCACAGACGAGCACAAGGCCCATCCTGATGCTGTGGGCCTGCAGCTCCTCTGCAAAATTCAACTCGTCCTGCATTATGTGAACATCTCCACTGCTGTGTTCTGAAAGGGACATGGTGGCCATGATCCAGGACCCTACTGCCCAGCCCTCATGGCTGCCAAACATAGACTGCATGTGGATTCTCCCCAGTGAGGTGATGATGACAGTGGTGTAAAGAGACAAGTCCTCCACCTTCAGGTGACCTCCTCCATGTGCTTTTCTGTAGCACCTGGAGGATGAGAGCCATGTTGGGATGCCTTGGAAGCTGCCTGTAGAAGAGAGGCAGAGGGGACATCAGCCCACATTTCTAGTCCCCAGTTGTCACCTGGCACTGTGCACTGACCCAACTGAGTCCAAGTCAGGGAATCTCTGCATCTGGTTCATCTCTTGGCCTTTTCCCAGTAACCTCCAGCTGCTTTATCCTACTCCGTCTCTTGTGCTCAGTCACCTTCCTGCACCTTTCAGGTCCCATCCTGCTCGATGCTTGAAAGCTCCTCATCTGGACACCAAGATGAGCTCTCTCACGCCTGGCCTCTCTCCCATGATCTAGGTTCCTACGACCATGTTTCCAGTATTTCCCCTTATTTTTCACGCTTGTCTCTGCTAGGCCAGAAAATCTAAATCCTTTCAGTCCATGTTAGGCAGAAGCATCGGGCTTCCCCACTCAGCACTCATTCTCTTCTTCCCCAGAGTCTTCCCGGGGTTTCTGGGTGCCCAAAGTGGAAACTGTCCTCATGGTCAGAGACGGTGACTTGGACTCCACGCAGTGCTGCTGGTGGAGGCCTGGGCTGAGCTTCCCTCTCGGGTCTCTATGGCCACATGGACACCAAGGCTGCAGAAGAGGCTGTCACTGGCCAGCAGCACTGCAGCCTGCTGCCAGCATCCCCTCAGACACACCCTTCCGGCCTGCCGCACACCTTGCTGCGTCACGCCTCGTCCACTGCGCCGCCCTCTGACTCTTGCTTCCTGTTGTACTGCAGTGGGCATTTGGCTTCCACTGGGGTCCTGCTGCAGTCTTCACTCAGAGAAATGAAAACTGAAGGGACATCAGTGAGAAATGGAAGTCAGAAAAGAAAAAGAAAGGCCTGGAAGCCAGGTTGAAGGTCAGGGTCACTACATGGGGATCTATGAGGGTAGGCTCTGGCATCTGCATTTTCCAATTTTGTGATTAGTTATCATTACTTTTATAAAACTTGAATTTCAATGCATAAACACACTTTCATCATATTCCTTCACCACTGCTCTTTTTCACTACCTCATTCCTGTTACCTTCTTTCTTCCCTGTTGTCAAATAAATTCTCTCTTCTACTTTCACGTCATCTGGTTTAGATTCCCCATATCAGTGTGAACAAATGATATCTGTATTTGTCTTATTTTCCTCAACATATCACCTTCATTTCCATCCATTTTTCTGCAAATGATGAAATTTTGGTGTTCTTTATGGTTGATAATATTTCACTGTCTTTGTGTGTGTGTGCCACGTTGATGGTGAGCTAGACTGGTTCAGTATCTCGGCTCTTGTGAATTGTGGCACAATAAATATAGATATTCACATATCCCTGTGGTGTTCTGCCTTTCACCCCTGCAGGTATATACAAACAGTGGTATAGCTTGAGCACATTGTCATTCTGATTTTACTATTTTGAGGAATTTTTGAGGCCCTGGGAGAGCGGCCAAAGGTCCTCACAGGAAGGACTCTCCAATTTTAAATCTTTATAGGGTTGATGAAAAAATGTGTCATGGATGAAAGTAACAAATAACTCTCAGACATAGCCCAAAGAATAGACAGACCTTGTCACCAAGATGGATTAAAACAAGACTGAGGATCCCAGTGTGGTTACCACCCAAATGTCCCCCATTGCCAAATGGCTAGACAAATCCATGGCATCTCTCCACACAGTGGACTGTTATTCCTCCCGGAACAAGGGAGAAACTCTTGACATCCTGCATCACGGTGGGACCGTGAAGATGCTGTAGTAAGAAGAGGAAATGTGCCCAAAGACAAACATGGTCTTAGTGCACAGGATTGCAGGGCACACAGGGAGTGCAGAGCTGTCCATTCATAGAACAGAAGGGAGAATGCTGGTTCCTAGGGGTTGTGAGAGGAGACCAGGCTTTCATGCTTTTATTAAGCCAGTGGTTCTGTGATCCTGGTCTGGGCCTTGCCTTAGATTTGTTTGTCCATTTTTACCCCATCAGGGGGAGACTCTCTGCTCCAGGATAAGGAAAATCTTTTGCAAGTGCATAGAGTGAGTGGCTGGACAACAGAATCAGTGGACAGTCATGTGTCACATATTACATGTTGGCAGTGATGGACCACAGAGGCGATGGTGACTGTGTGAGACGCTGTCTGCCTATCCCTCCTAGGCTCGCAACTGGGTGAGTTCATACTGTTATACTGGCTCCATGATGATGTCAAGGAAGCACCCATTTGTCACAACACATCTCCATCATTATTTCCACATGTCTGTTGTGAAGAAATAAGTCAGCTGTGCTATGCGGGTGGCCCATGACTCTCACCCCACCTCCCATGAGGCTGGGCTCCAAGTCCATCACTTGGGAGCCTGAGGCAAAGCACTCTGCATATATAAACACAGCATGGATAACAAGCAATTTGGAGAGTAGAATCCGGATTTTTTTGTGGAGGGGAAGGCAGCCTTTGGGTGAACTCATGGCAACTCCTCATGCTTCTCCCCAGTCTGTGAAACAGGGTCCCCAGTCAAGTTCCTAAAGGATTCCCTGGAAGTAGGGTTAGATGAAAAAATTCCAGGGCTAACAAGGGAGGGCCTGGACAGAAGAGGTCTGGGAAGGTTACCAGTCAGGAGGGAGAGCTACAAAAAATGGGAGGAGGGACACAGGAGGGACAAGAGGTCTACACTGGGCAGCTAGATAAGGAGACCCTGGATCAAAAGAGGGAAGGCACTGTAAACCAGGAATTCACAACACCTGGAGGACTCTGGCCCCATCCCTCCTTAGCAATACAGAGAAGAAAGTCGTCACATAAGTCTTAAAACATGTCCCCACCAACATTAGAAAGCCTGGTTGCCAACAGTCCCCTATTTCATAGAACTCCTGGTGATTTTGCTCAGTGCAAATGATTTTGGTAACAGACATGTAACAGGGTCACATTCACAACTGGAGAAAGCGCTTGTATGGTTTCTGAGTAGGAAAGAGGTGCATTCACGTGCCTCAGGGCCACCATGGTGTGCTTAAAGGTCCTAATCACCCTGATACTTGCTGCTACTCAGGCTCTCATTCAGTTGCTCTTCCATGAGTGAGGGTTCAGCTGGTGTCACTGCCAGCTGAAAGTCTTTCTAACCCCTCTCTTCATCTGCCTGCCCTGCACCCTTTGGCAGGCAAGCTCTACTGCTTGTTCTCTTGCCCTGTGGGAAACACTGTGCCAGGTCCCAAGCTAATGAAGAGCTCTCTTCACAGAGGATCCTGTGCTCAAGAGATTCCTAGCCTGGGACAAGAACCTGAGGGCATCTGACAAGGTGAGGTACTTCTCCCCTAAGCAGGGCTCCTGCTGTGGCACCGCCCATATGATCACAGTTTTGTGCATTTCTTTCAAGTATCGCTCTGTTGTTCTTTATTTGTTCTTCATTATGGCTCATAGTAGTCCACTGTGTAGGGAAGCACATTTTCCTTATTCATTCATGTGTCAGTGGCCTCCTTGACTGACCTATTATCTTAGCTATTGTGAATTTTGCCATAATGAATCTGAGTATGCAGGAGTTCCTACGGTATGGTCACTGTAATTCCTTTGAATATGTACCAAGGAATGACATGGTTTGAGCAAATGTTAGTGGATGTTAACTTATTTGAGGAACTTTTACATGGATTGCGATGGTGGCTCCACTAATATACATCCCATCCCCAGTGTCCCAGAGTTGCTTTTTCCTCACAGCCTTGCCTGAATTTATTGTTTCTTTTTGTTTCCAGAGATAGTTATACTAACTGGGAACACATGGAATCTCCACGTAGCTTGATTTGCAATTCCCTAGTGGGTAAACACATTGACTTTTATCTGGTTATTGATCATTTGTACTTCTTTTGAGAGGTGTGTGTTCAGATGTTTTGCCTATTTCTTGATTGGACTATTTGACTTTTTGTTAAGTTTGAGTTGCTTATATATTCTAGATTTTAATCTTCTGTCAAAAGCATAGCTGGCAAAGATTTTCTCTCATTCTACAGCTGTCTCTTCACTCAGTTGTGTTCCCTATGAGTAGAAATTTTCAATTGGATACATGCTTGCTTAATTTTGATTTATTTCCTGACATATTTCAGGATATCTTTGCCTGTGCTTATGGCTTCAAGTGTTTCTTTTGGGAGTTCCAAACTTTCAAGTTGTATACTTAGGTCTTTGATATATTTTGAATTTATTTTGGGGCAGGCCGAGAGCCAGGGGGTCTAGTTTTAGTCTTCTAAAGTAAATATCTAGTTTTCCCAGCACCTTGTGTTAAAGAGGCTGTCTTTTCTGCAAGGTATGTCTTGCCTCCTTTGTCTAGTACCAGGTGGCCAGGCATCTATCTCCATTGTAATATTTCTCCAAATGACCCTTATGCTGAAAGGCTGGTATTGGCAAGGCATTTCTATTGCACTCTGATACTTCTTTTTAAAAATGTATTAAGATTCATATTTTAGGATCTAAACAAGTTACTAAAGTTTCAAAGGTGAGTTATATTTAGCTTTTTACCATGAACTTTGCAATCTAACAGCAAAAAAATGGACTAGAATTTAAACCCTGTCACTTCACAAAACAAAAACAAGAATCCTAAAGTATGTAGATATAATCAATCACCATACAGTCCTTTTCAACAGGATAATAATATTCTTACCAAACACCACCAGTTATACAAACTAAATAATAGAGCAGCTGCAGCCCAAGATTAATTAATGAGTTACCCAACACAACTGAAACAGAACACTCGTTTACCCTGCTCGCACCAGGGGATTATTTATCATGCAACTTTGTTGTTCTCCTGTGATTCTCAAAACTGTTTTCTTTTAAATAGTAGAAGCATGGGTACAATTGTAAGGATTCAGGGATGTTTATGTTTCTTTCTAAATTTTAAAAATCATATTATTAGAGTTCACAGTGTTCTCCCAGCCCTCACAGTTCCAACACTGGTGAAGAGCTGATATTTTTTATGCTATGAGGTTTACAGCTCATACAATCTCTGCCTTTTGGACTATGAACGTCAACCTACAGGAAGGCCTATTGAGTGATTTATTGAACATTACTATACTTCAGGGTCTATTCTGAAATCTTTTCCATCTTTATAACAACCTTTTGCATTTACAATCATTTATTAAAATGCAAAGAAACAGGGCCTCTATTTCTCAAACAAGGCATACAGCACACAGTTATAACCTATACCAGAAAGGAGGACATTCTTTAAAAATCCAATGCCTTGGGCAGAGACCTGATTTACATTAGAGTTTATCTTCAAAGGAATTTTTATTGGTACATTTTAGGTATTGATAATGGTCACTTTCATCATCAGGAATTGGAACCTGTACATAATATAATTTAATTCCCCCCATTCCCTTTCAACCTCTCTTCCACTCCTTATTTACAAAAGTTTATTTCCATTTTTCCTTCTTCATTCATTTTTAAATTTTCTCTTCTTTGCTTTTCATCTTACTCCCTTTGTCCCCTCCCCATTTGAACACTGTTTTGTAATACCTACTACACATTTTGATCTTTATTTACAGTTTCTCACAACAGAGAAATGATGTGCTATTTAAACATGTGTATCCTATTTATTTCACTTAAGAGTATGGTATCAAGGTGCATCCACTTAGCTAGAAAGGGGTTAAAATATAATTTTGAAACTATGGCCATTTTCACTATATTGGTTCTTCTTATCCAACAACAAGGGATATCTTTCCATTTTCTGATATTTTCTTTGATGTCCTGCTTCAGAGTACTGTAGTTTTCAAGATAAAGTTCTTTTATTTCCTTTGTTAGATTCCTAGATGTTTCATTTTTTTTGGATGCTGTTATCAAAGGTTTGTTTCCCTAATTTATGTTATTTGTGTACAGGAATGCTATTGATTTTTGAGTGCTGACTTTGTATCCAACTACACTACTGAATTTAGTTATTAAATCTAAGAGTCTTTTGGTGGTGTTTTGGGGGTCTTCTGTGTAGTTATCACGTCACCTACGAATAATGATGATTTAACTTCTTTTCCTATCCTTATTCCTTTTTTCTCTTGTCTAATTTATCTGCCTACCATTCCCAGAACTATATTACATAAGAGTGGTGATAATGAAGATCCTTGTCTTATTGCTGCTTTTAGAGTGAACGCTTTCAATTTTTTGTCCACTTAGTATCATGTCTTTTGCCCTTTTTATTTTTATTTTCTTGGATTGGTGATCAAACTCACGACTACACACTTGCCAGGCAGGAAGTGTGCCGCTGAGCCATATCCACTACTTCCCCCCCACTTTTTAAAAACAGCATTTATTTGAGAAAACTCACCCTCCTCTATCTTTTTGATTCATATTTAAATTTCTTAAAAATTTATATAAACTGCTTGCCAGCATTAGAATCAGGAACGTTTTTCTGAAGACAGTTCTCTGAACGGTCAACTAAAAGGAAGACAAGTGTCTCTCTATCCCTGTGGCCCTGGGAGTTTCATCCTGGCACCTCACTCTCAGCTGTAGCTGCCTGTTTGTCACAGAAAAGTTCTGCTTTTTCTCTAGATAAAGGCAATGAACTAGCACTGATAACCCCTTGTACGACCAGGTGATTTCTGAAGGGCCCATGAGAATGCAGTGCCAGCCGCAGTCCAGCGCTTTCATTAGCAGCAGCTGCCCTTGAGCCTGAGACCAAGTGCACGGTGGCGCAGATCCTCGGGGCTACAGACAGGTTTCTCTCTCAAAGGTGCTTTAGTGTGTTGCATGTGATGGGCACCAGTCTTGCTTCATGCTTCTCCCATAATGAAACTGTTTTCTTCATTGTCTGCATTCACAGAGAGGATTTTCTCAGTTGGCAGGCGATGGCAATTTTAATCCCCACTACTACTAGCTTTTAAGTAACCAGTGGGCAAGAGCACTACTTTATTATTTCAGCTTCAAAAAACCGAAATGACCAGTCAATGGCCATGTCATTTTCTAAAACTGACAATGCTACCTAATGCTGAACAGTCTTCACAAGGTCAGACCACAGGCATCAGTTTTCTTCTTTCGGTGTTTTCTGATTCTTCTTTGACAGTTTTTAAGCACTGTGCTTGATCCTAGATATGCTACAATTTCTACTCCTTCTTTGCAAAGCATCGCTGAGCATTTGTGGTACCCTCATGCTGAGGGAAACGTCTGGTAGCATTTCAGTTAATGGAACGCGAAGCACTCTCCGTTTGTCAGAATCTCGTTTCCAACGGTAAAGTCGCAGACGTTGAGAGGACTTGGGTTCCAGTATATACAATCACAATCGCAATCGCTACAAGGAACTGGAGAAAATGCAGACGAATGCAGGGCTGCATGAAGCCTTTGCGCCTAAGTTAGCGCCTGTGTATAACTGGAGGAGGCAGAGACCTTATGCAGTTCCCTAAATCAGGATGTGTTTAGTCTTTAAGGGAACAAAGTTCAGGTAATTGTGGGGGAATAAAGGCCAGGCCTGGGCCGTGGACTTCCGGTGCGCTCTGCGCATGTCCCTGTCGTCCCGCGCTTGCGTGTTTACGCATGCGCGCCTGCTCTGGCCTGAGGTAGCTTCCGGTATCAAGTGCTGACTTTTCTGGACCACAGGATTTGGCTCCTGGGCTACGATTTCGTAGCCCTCGGGGCCAGGGGTACTGGCAAGCCTGGTACCAAACAGGCGCAGGTGTGCGGGCCAAGGTTCGTGTGGCTGAGCAGAAGCTGGAAAGGAGCAAGAGTCGGGAGCGCAGAGCCCGAAGCAGAAGCCAGAGGGGCCAGATGGACGGATTCTTCAGTGGCCTCGCTGACTCTGCGAAGCAGTTAGACCTGGAGCCCACTGGGGAAGGGCGTGAGTTTATGGTCCCAGAAAGGACAGGAGTGGTGGCGGGGGGAACACCACTGCCGGCGAGGTCAGGAGCGCGGGCCAAGGGAAGGTGTGGAAGGCAAACAGGAAAGCTGGCAAGACTGAGGCGCTCTCTACCTGAGAATCTAGGGATGCGGTCGGTGTCTTGGGGACACCGGCCTCAGCTGCGGACATCAGCCCTCGATTCTCTTGATGCTCCCTGAAACTCCATCATGGTCTTGGCGCTCCAGACTCTCCCAAGATGTCTGCAAGTGTCGGTTAGCACCCTACTCTGTCTGCTGACTTCCCTCACGTGTGCCCTTAGTGACTCAGTGGAGTGCAAAACAGATCTCTTACTGCCTTGGTTGGTAGAGGAAAGACTGGGGCAGTGCAGGTGGGTTTCTGAGTAAGGTTGTTGATAGGACTCAAATGCTTGGTCCAGTGTTCTGTCCACTGTGTTTTTTACGGACAACTTTCACCATTTTTAATCAGGTAACTTAAAAACAAAAAAACATGCCTATGCCCAGGAATCCCACTTTTGAGAGCTGAAATTCTCAATTCCTGAGATCTGATTTCTTTTAAAGCAATTTAAAGAAACAAGTAAAATATATACAAAGATTTCTCTCCGCACCACCATCACTCTTTTATTTAATGTCTTCTGGGCTCCCTTCATGCAGGTTCTTCCTTTCCGTGGATGAATTTTTCAGCTCATTTCTGGCTTATGAGTAGTCATATCTGGTCTGATCAAGGAAGCAACTGTACCTTTGTTGTCTCAAGGAGTCCTGTGTGGATGATGCCACCATCTCCCTGCCTCTATCACCTTCCTTCCCTGGATCTCATTGTATACACTCCTGACGCCCCACCAACTGAGAAGCTTCAGATGGAGATGTTTATTCAGGGATTTCTTTGGGTATTCATCCCTCTGCCCCCAAGTGACCAACACTGCATGGCTCGGGGGGTGCATGAGTTCCAACAGCATTTCCTAGACCTCTCTTCCCACTGTATCAGGTTCTTTGACATAGAGAAGTCAAAAAACCCAGATATATGCTTGTGTGAGTTCTCTTCCAACTCCAGTGACTACTCACACTTCTCTTCTGGCCAGAGGACAGATGTAGGAAGCTGGGGTCCTGAGTCAAACCAACCCCTTTATCCCTATGGTATTCTTCCTCCTCTCACTTTTTGTTCTTCCTTTTCACTGTCCTCTCTCTTCCTCCTCCTCCTTTTCCTCCTTCTTCCTTATCCCCCCAAACTCCCTAAAGGACTGAGGCAAGAAGTGGGGTGCTAACCAAGGGACTTGATCAAAATGATCAGGTAGGTTCTTCTTCTGCTCCTTCTGGGCAAATGAAGACCAATCTGTCCTCATCTTTGGTCATAGGCCTGAGATTGCAGGCTGAGTGCTATTCACATGCCTAAGGAATGAAACCCAAGTTGAGTGTTACGCCTCTGTCTTTGGAATTCAGCTTTTGATCACCTAAGTCCAACTCTGCCTTCCCAAAACATTGAACACTTCACTGTTATCCACCCCCCCCAGCCAATGTTCCATCTTTAATCTTTGCTGATGTCTATCTCCTCCCAGTTTTCCTTATCATCCCCTCTTCCCTTGCCTACAAACTCTTCCTCTGGTAGACACCTTTTCCCACATAGTGAGGGGACTGTGCTTGTGTGTCAGTGTTTTACTAGAGAAACAGATACAACACAAGACTACAAATGTGTAAGAATTTACAAGATTGTCTTATAGCGGCCACCTACAGAATCAGATGAGGAAGCACGCAGAAGGTGTCTGCACACTGGAGACCAAAGGATTCAGCCAAGGTCTGGAGCTCACTGTAGTGTCCTGTGCAAGTCTGTATCAGGAGGCTGATAGGTCTGCGATGGAAGGTTGAAGAGTCTATGCCAGCAGGCTGAAGGATCTGTGTGAGAAGCTGAAGAGTCTGCTGGAGGCCAGGAGATGATGTCCAGGTTGAAGGCAAAGACTGGAGCTCCTTTGAAGAAACAAAAGAAGATCCATCCTTCTTCATTTCCTCTTATACCATCCAGTTGATTACTTGCCCTAGGGTGGTTTCTCTACACCCTGGGGTGTAGAATTGCTGATCAATTTAGTTAAGCTTCTCTTCTCCAGTTGACACAATCACTCCACCATCACAGCTTGAGTCACCTCTCCCCTGTTCATTCTTGGATCTCATCTTCTAAACCCTTCCTTGGATCTGCAAGCTCTCCATCCTTTGAACACTCTTGTCCTATACCCCCCGTCCTTTCCCACTCCCACCCCTGGCTTCCTGATTCCTTCCTTTATCTGTAGCCCTTCTTTCTTAACTGGTCACATTCTCAGATCTCTTCTGTCTTCAGGCTCTCGGCTGATGATTCTAGAATTTTGTCATCCATACCACTTCCAGGCCATACCTATCCTGAGGAGCCAGGCTAGGGACTCTGGTCCCAGACTTGGAAAAAGGTTGACAAGTGGCCATGAATTCTGACAGATGCTTTCTTCCATTCCACAAAATGTAAACTTTGATCTGCTCAAACTGGACTTTCCTTTAGGCTGGCCTTATATATACATGGTGTGCCTGCTGAGGGCTCCTAGAGTGGTGGGATTCCAGGTGGAATCACTATGCCAAGCACTTTCCAATCTTTAAAGGGTAGACTTGATTGGCATTGAGGTCAGGCATGAGGAAATAATGATGGGGTGGGGCGTGTTCTGAGGAACGGATCATTTGCTAACATTGTCATTGTCCAAACAGCCAACAGTGACCTCTTGACCCATCTGTGTAAGTTAGAACATCAGTAGGCGATGTCTTGTCATGGAACCACCACGGTATATGTGATACCTCATTGGTTGAAGTGTCCTGTGCAGTACAGGACTGTACACTTACTGTGTGAGGCACTCACAACCACACACCGGTTTCTTTAAAAGGTTCCAATATCCATCTCTTTACTTGCTCTGTTCGCCCTTCCTCCTTCTCTCCTTTACACATTTCATCAGACTTTGAGCTTATTTCACATTTCAGCTCTTCTCATACTCAACCCTCATCCCACTTTCTCCTCTAACTGCTTTTGCATCTCTTTGCCTGCCTGCTTTATAGTCTTGTTTTCTTCTGGCTCAGAAGTTCCTTCCAGTTCCTCGGCTGCTCCCTGGTCTCTGATGCTCCCACCTGCCAGGGTGCTTCTCTGCAGCCATTCAGTATCCATGCTGTTAGCCCTTTCCTTTCTACCCTCCTCTATTTGACAGTTTTTTGCCCTCCTAATCATCTCCCCGGGCTCAGAAATTGCTCCTGTATCCTTATTTCTTTCCAGTTTACATTTTTCTAAGTTTTCTACCTGTTGTGTAAAATTGGAATTACAGGTTGTGAGAAAACCTCTCATAGACACTGGAATAGCAAAGGGAGGCTCCACTTTGCCTGTGTGTTGTCTGCTTTACCTGGGCCATTCCCAGGCAGGCATCCCTCACTGGGACGCCTTTCCTGTATTTGGAATCTACGGTGATTATCCAGTTACCCACAGAGTTTACTTCCTTCCTCTCAGTCTTACTGTCTTTTCTACTTCAATCTTGCCCCCTTCTTTCCTGCCTAAGTCTGGTTATAATCTATCTTTTGTAGTGTTTTGGGGTTTTGTTTTGCCTATGTAAAAAATCAGTGAGATTGTTTTTCAGAGTGAAGAAGTTCAGTCAAATAGCCACAGACCCCTGGGGCAGGGAGAAAATACCATTTGATGGCAAATAAGCAATTCAGATCGACATGCAAGAAGGTGAAAAGACAGTTCATCTTCATTTTATTTTCCTGAAATGCATGACTCTGCCTTCAGTCCCACATCAGACGCATGAATCAAGCTGAATTCAAGACACAGCTCAGTGGTCACAAGTCAGTAATGAAGAACAAGAATCCAGTTACCATTTCTAGTCACAAAACTAAGGGGACAGCAACACCTACCTATAAATAAAATGGATCTGTGAGTACAACAGATAAAAGACCAAAGAACTCTTAAAGGAGGAGATATATATATATATATAGATATAGATATAGATATAGATATATGTCTAGATATAAATATAGTAATAGATATATTTATCACTTGAAATGTCCGACACTGAACATTATAAGAACAGTATTATAAGATATAAATACCTATCATATCACAGAATTACAGTACAATACTATAGTATAAACATTTCTATACCAAATATGTTAAAAAATAAAATTTGTACTGTGTATTAAAGCAAACTGTGACACTGCTGTGACCTTCACATCAAACTTTAAAAATAATTACCTCCCAAACTATCTGCAGGTCTCCAGTTGATTTTAAGACTGTGGAAACCAAATATATCAAAAATCATTGTTATGACTTGTATCTAGCTGTCCCCCCCCCATAGCTTCAGGCATTTAGAAGTGGGGCTGCTCAGAGGTGGTAGATCTAGGGTGAGTGAATGTGAATTAGGAATATGATAATTGATTAGTCTACTGATTGGTTTATAGTCCTGTTCTGCATGTGGGTAATGGGAAGCCATACTTAGGGTGTGGGTGGCACCAATCAATAGGTTTATAGCCTGGATGGAATATAAAGGGACAGAAAGAAGCTAGGGTTGCCACCACCACTGCTGCCTCATGCCTGCCCTGCCATGTACTGTTTTTCTCTGCAGTGTCCCTCTGCTATGGTGCCTTGGAGCCAGCTGACTATGGACTGAAACTTCTGTCAACTGTGAGCCAAAGTAAGCCTTTTCCTCCTCTAACTTGTGAATGTTGGGTACTTTTTCCCAGCAACAAGAATTAACTAAGACAACCATACCACCAACTTCCACCTCAGCAGCAATTGGAATTAGGAATGTAAAATTTAGAAGGTGACTCCAAAAACTGTGGCTGCTCATTGTCCCTCCATGAACTCCCCAGATCCAGGAGGAAATACAGTACACTAATTATCTTTGAGTTCTTCTGGAAAAGTCTGGATTCTTCGAGATATCTAAACAAGAAGCTTTCTAACCCACTCCTAGGCCATGGTTAGTCTCAGCATGGTTTTGTGCTGAAATGGTTCATCTTGTCCAGGCCCAGAGATCTGGAAATAGGTAAGAGAGACTATGTCAGGCTTCATGGGGTCAGTTTTCTAGATGAAGAGTGACACATTAACTCACTCCCAACTGTAGTTTCAATCAGTTTACAAATCCAACTTTATCTCTAATCCTTCATTGTTAACCCCAGGTGTGGTTCAAAATTTTTGTACTTCATTCCAAAAATCACTTAAGATGCTTTCAGTTAGACTCAGCTTCATGCTTTACAATGAGGCCTTGAGGTGATTATGCTTGGGGACTAGAGCACCCTTGGAGAAGATGGCATGTTTCGTGTCACTCACATTTTTCAGTTTTGTCCCTTCACATCTGCACTTGTTACCACACTATAAACATAACTAGTAAATCTGTCAACGTCATGACCATGAATGGGATTAATCTATAATCCCACTCCCTTTTATGTCACCAACATGTTTGCTCCTAAATTTGGCTGATCGCATACAGTTTATCTTGGCCTACTCATCTGTGCAAATGCATACTGTAATGTGTTAAATGACAAAGTACCTCCATGGAGCTCGTGGATCTGCCATGATTCTGACAGATACCCATGGCCCTAAATTTGAAGGTGGATATGTATTTATTTACTTATTTATGGTACCTGGGAACAAACTCACGATCTTGTGTCTGTCAGGTAGGTTCTGCACTGCTGACACATAGACATGTAATTATTCAAGAGGAGAAATTCTTCCAGAAGTGGCACAGGAGACAGAAGATGCCCCAGGTGCACTCAAGCCATATCACTGTGGATGTGAACTAGGAGGAACACATAGGCTAATTCCATTCCATATGATACCTCCTTGTTCCACATTTAACTAAATTCCAAAAGATATCCATAAGGGATTATACCCCCCTCAATAAACGACAAACAGAAACAACTTTTAGAAGGAGAGATGGAAGTTTGTGTCTAGTAGGTATGCACTGGGGATAGAAATCAGCATTTAATCTGCACTGTCATTGGGACCCCATTGCTCTGAATTAAATAATCCCTACCAAATCTGTGCCTCTGAGACAATGGTGTGTGTGTGTGTGTGTGTGTGTGTGTGTGTGTGTGTGTGTGTGTGAAGTCTGTGCAGTGTTGTACCACCCAAGACAACACTCCAAAGTTGAGTTTGTCATACCTTCTGTTGTCTGCTTGTCAATTTGGTTGGTTGTGTCAGGGGACAGGGAGAGGCCAACCTTGGGCCTGGGCCTGGGCTGGTTCCTGATGTGTGGACAGTGCACAGGGTGGGAGGGTGATGAGAGGAGCCTACCCTGTGCTCCCTGCATTCTCTAGATAGACCACAGCGATGCTGTCTGAACTCTGGGACACATGCACACACACCTTGAGGTCACTGTCCTCAGGGTTCCAGGGTCCCTGGAATGAGGGTGCGACCTCAGCCCCACACCCAGCACACAGGAGCATAAGCTTGGATCTGGAAAGGAAAGCAACTCCAGAGTGAATGAAGACCTGCAGTGACACCACCCTCATGTCCAGCCAGTCTTCCTTGTCACCCATCCCTGGTATCCCCTGTTCCCATCTGTGCCAATCTAGCCTGTCCCTGCCAGCCCAGGCTCACCCACCTCACATCCTAAGGTCCCAGCCCATGCAGATGAACTGGTAGTTCAGTGTATGGAACTGCAGAATCTTGGCAAAGTTCCTCCTATAGAGGAAGAATAATATGTTAGGTTAGGAACCTGGTCATCGTCCTCCATGTCATTGGCCAGGAAGCTGGGAACAAAAGCAAGTTTCTGGTCCAGGGCATAACTAGAAAGAAGCTGGGTCCTGGGTCAGCTCTGGGAAGAACAGATGAGCCCCTTCCAGCTCAGGATGCCATCAGCCCAGAGTTCCTAAGGGCCAGGTATGAGTGCAGAGGCATAGGCTACATGGGGCCCTTCTGAAGGCGCTTTCCAAGCCAGGGATGAAGACAGGACCCTTGTGTAGAACCTGAGGTGGCCTCCTGCCCCGTCACCAGCTGAAATTATCTCTTATCTCCCCATGTGCATCCTGTCCTTTCTCTGTAGCTTGTCCTTTGTGTACATACCTGTCTCCTGACCCCAGGGGAGCATCTGCTTAGGGTAACCTTGGTATGTTTCTGTGTCCTGCCCACCCTGCCCAGTACAGGAGGACTTTGCTGAGAGTGTTCGTGAATTCCACAGTCTTTCCCACGTCTTTTCCCATTGTTAAGATCTCAGGCAGAGGGTGCACTGCAGAATGTTTCTGTGAGTGAATGAATGAAGGAAGGAATGCCAGCTTTATCTGTAGACAAACGCCATGGTGCATGCCCCGTGGACTTGGTGCTAGAACAGAAAATGAAATGAAAAGGATTAAGCTGGCTATTTTAGAGTGCAAGACCCAGCTGTCAGCAGTTGTCTCTCTGAAGGGTATTTTAGGTAGAGAGAGGGGAGACAAGGATCTAGAGTACAGAATGTCCTTTGTCAGCAGGGACTTGAGGACAGTGCCGTCGGAATACAAAAGGGAGATCAGGGAAGGAGGCACACAGTTTAGAGTTTTTAATTTTGTTTGCAATACTGGGAACTTAATCCAGAGTTCTTGATCTATATCCCCATTGCTTTTTTAAAAATTACCCTTTTGGAAATTATCTTGTTACCTTACTAAGTTGCCCAGGTCTGGCTCAAACTTGCCATTTCCTAACTCAGTCTCCCACAGTAAAGTGATTATAGTCACTCGACCTTGAACCCTTGGGCTTCACCTTTGGACTCAAATAATCCAACCCCCACGGCACCCTGAGTGGCTGGGAATGTAAGTGTGCAGCACCACAGCTGTCCAGGTTTGGGTATTTTGACCGACTTGAAGATACATACTTTTTATTCCGGTTCAGTTTGTGAAGACATGGACAGAAAACACGAGATAGAGGCAGAGAAGGGTGCTCAGCAGGAGCATTGAAAGAAAGGGAGGGAATATCAAGATGATGAGCTGGTGTGGGTGTAGAGAGATTGTAGAGCGGGTGAGTTCTGGGGACAGCTAGGCCTTGGTGAAGAATTTAGCATGAAGTACTTAGCAGTGCAGGAGCCACGTGGCAAGTGAGCGTTGAGCCTGTCTATGAAAGCTGATCAGGCAAAACAGGCTCCCTGGCTCCCTGGCTCCTAGGCTCCCTGGTTTGTGGAGAGACTTGTCAGAAGGACCAGCAGGGAGCACATTACACTCAGTGTGTGCCTGTCAGGAGGGCATGCATGGGCCATGGGTCTAGGAAACCCAGAGGAGGGGACAAGAAGACATTTGGTATTGCTAAGGAAGGAAACCGCAAAGGGTCAGAAATGCCCACCCTCAGGCCTGAGGACTGAGGCCCACATATGGGTTCTTCCTGCCTCTGTTGTCTGGGGCCTCAGTTTCCCCTGGTGGCATGCTTTAACCAACGTGAGGGCAGACTGCAAGATTCCTAAGAGGAGCATGGGAGCATGCAGTGTGATGCCCCTGTGCTACAGTCAGCAGTACAGAGGTTTAAAGCCAGAGGCCAGGTTAGAGTCCCCTCCCCACCCTCTGGGGCTGACCATGGCCTGTGGGGGGAGGCGCAGTACTCACAGGGCCAGGAAGAAGTGGATCCTCTGGTACTGTCAGGGGAAGAGGCCAGCCCGGCTGAGGTAGGCAATGACCATGGCCAGGAGGTTCTTCAGGGAGAGAGGACTCTCAGCAGGCACAGCTGGAGGAAGGATGTGGGGACATGGACTGAGAAGGGGCAGCAGGGCCCCAGTCAGAGAAAAGGCTCTGATGTTGAATGGCCTGGTCATTTGGAGAAAGTCAAGGGCTGGAAGTCATTTGCAAATGAGAGCTGTGAGGAAAAGGGAGTACATGATGCCCAGGTGGCTCTTCCAAGGATCTAATTGAGACTAGGCATTGAGGTCACTTGGATCAGACTGGGGTCTTTTAAGTTGGAGAAAAGGGGTTCCCTGAAAGCTGAGAGGCAAGACCAGGTGCTTCATGTAGCCCCAGCCAGAGAGGGCGTATGCAGGGAGACTGTTGCCTGGGCTCAGTTCACAGAGGGCCCTGGCAAAGCAGGGTGCAGCCTGCAGGCCCAGGTGGGCCAGAAAGGCAGAAAATGCTGAGTCCTAAAGGGGCTGGAGTTTGGGAGGATGTGGTGGGAGTTCCTAGCAGGGACATAAGAGTAACTGTGGGACTGGGATCGTTCCCTCCCTGGGATTTGCCACAAAGAGAGCCCAGCTCAGGGGGAAAGGACCTCACTTTGTCAGAGGCCCTCAGGTTCATGTCCCAGCCCAAGAAACTCTTGATGACCAGATCCTCTGTGAAGAGAGCTCAGTGTTAAGTTGTAGCCTGGCAAGGGAGTCCCTGGAGGAAGAAAATTAGGGAACAGAACTGTGCCTGCCACAGAGAAGATTCTGGATGGGGCTGGGGACAAGTGAATGGGAAGAGGAAGAAGAATGCTCACCAGGCAGGGGACAGGTGCTCAGCCCTGAGACTTCCAAAGGAGCAATTGAGGGAGGACCTGGGTAGCAGCAACTCTGCCTGGTTTGGACCTTAGAGTATGAATGCCTCACCTCAACAGTCAGAAGGCATCTGTGTCACTTTGTCTTGTGATCCTGTCACCCCTCGAGTGCTGCTATCATTTCCAATTTAGGCAAGTTAGTAATTGCTGGATGTCTTGGAGGCTGGATGGAACCAAGGTTTGCGATCCCAAGTGAGAACAAGTTTAAGGCCCACATCACCACTGTCATCTGTGTGTCCCTGGAGAGGGATTGCACTGGAGTCCTCCAGGAATGGTGAGCTCAGAACTCACAGCAGGCTCTCTTCAACAGTGAAGGAAGTGACCAGAAGTTTCCAGTGTTCCTTAAGAGCTGGGTGGCAGGTACTGTGAGTTGTCTCCTTACCAAGAAGCCTACTGAAGGTTCCACTGAGAACTGGTGTTTCCTTTTCATCTTCCTTTAGTTAAGGGCATCTGGACATATACGTCCACTGGTACTGACCCTCCTGAGTCTATGGATCACCTAAAGCCAGCCCCAAATTCCTATTAGCCATTGATAGTATACATTGCAAGTGCTGGAGCAACTGTATCACCATTGGCCTAGAAATTTGAAACACTTTTGTACTATAGGTATGAAATTGCAGGTAAAAGACTAAGTGGAAAATCTACAGAATACCATCTTTTCTGTGGAGGTGGGATGAGATGAGAGGGTGACGCAGAAAGAAGGTGACCGTCTAGGCCTCTGCAGCCCCCTCCCCACCGGGATTACAGGCCTATGCCACCACTCCCAGTTGATCTGTAGCAGTTTGTTTCATTTGTTTGGTTTTGTTTTTCAAATAGGGTCTCCTGTGGTCTGAGATTATAGGTATTCGGTACCATGCCTGGTTAGTTTGTATCATTTTAAAGTATAGGGTTGAGAGCCTTAAGGCACTCTTCATGACAGGGTATGTTCTGAGAAAGCTATTGTCAGCTTTCACAGGCAAGTGACACTCAACCTGTCAGGTGTCACATGTGCCAAGTTTGTGTCTCTCAATAATCAGAGAATGGATATGAGGGCAAAGGAGGTTAAGAGTAGGAAAGTTTGTTGAGAGAAAATTCCTGAGGGACAGGAGGGGTTCTGGAAAGTGGGTGCCATTGAAGGACTTTGGAGTTCTTTATAGGTGAAAATGATCACATCTTAGACTACTCTGGGACAACCTGAGGCCAACCTGTGGGGTTACAAGTACAGTAGCTTAGCTACTGTTGATTCAATAGGGAAGCAAGGCACAAAGTGAGGGTATACGGTGGGCATCACTAACTTTAGCTTATCTATAACTTGTAACATGGAAAGGTCAAAGGCAGTTCAGGGAAGGGATAGGAGTCTGGATTAGGACACCTGTGCATGTGACGCCTTATCTAGGCTCACTGGACCGGGTGGTGATGGTTACAGTACGATCTCAAGCTGCTGTCTATAGGGAGGC